CAACTTGCTAATTTCACTAAAAGTTATTGAATTGCACACTTGAAATGGGTGAATTAAATGTTTTGTAAAGTATGCCTAAAAAAAACCCCAAAACTATCAAGACACTAAGAATCAGGTTATCCTGGAAAGAGGTCAAGAAGGTAACTGCAGAGGCTGGAGCTAGCAAAGCACAGGAAAAGATAAGGTCTTATCTAAAGCAATTAACAGTAAACCGGCAATTAGAGGCTTTTGTTACTTGTGTTTAGCTGAATGCTGTGAATAGCAAGCTTTCTGAAATTCTTGGCCAGATCAGAACCTAGAAAGTGAGGACTTCTAACCTCCGTTGAGTGTGAGACAAAAAGGTAGTTGTTTTTATACTTAACTTGGTAGAAAAAAGAAAAACAAAAACAGACGAGAAACAAGATATCAGCTGGGGTCCCTGGGGTCCCAATTCCAGGCCCTGGGAAGACCAAAGCTCACCCCCTTGGTTTTTGTGAATTGTCCTGAAGGGCTTTCTAGGTTTCTAGACTTCTTTTTTTTCTTTCTAATATTAGAAAGTGAAGTCATCCTTTATTCCTCTTTTCTTCACATGCCACATCCAATCTACCACAATGCAGAATATGATCACTCCTCACCAATACCACCGCTAACATGCTGGTCTGAGCTACCAGCATCTCTCCTAACTTCTTCCCCTGTTTCCATTCTTGCCCACCCCCCACCCCCCACCCCCTTTTCTTATGGCCGTGCCACACGGCATGCAGAATCCTAGTTCCCCGACCAGGGATATCGAACCCGTGCCCCTGGCAGTGGAAGTGTGGAGTCCTAACCACTAGACGACCAGGAAAGTCCCCGGTTTCTAGACTTTTGAGACCTTGCTTCCATGTGTAAATTGAGTAGAATTTACTAGAGAGATGGAAGGCGGGGTTTACATCCCAGTAATAGGGAATAAATTTGATGGGAATGGATGGGTTACTATCCAACACTAACCTGGCCCCTCTCCCCTTCCCTGTCTCAGCTTCTCTCCATCAGGCTGGCTTCTCTTTCCTGGTCTTATCTCTCTCCTCCCCTCTCTCTGCTCCCCCTCCACTCCCTTTGCAGGAGCAGAAGCAACGAAGTCTTCCTCTAATCTCCAGCCTCGGCAGGCTTTCCTCCTCTGGAGCCCAGGTGCCTGCAGCATCCAAGCCCTCGAGGTGTCATCCCTCCCTACAAGCCCCTCAGCGGCTTTCCCCCAGGGAGACAGCTCCCTCCTTCCCCTTCCCAAAGAGGAATCATGGGGTCAGCTGTTAAGATTTAACAAAAAAATTTTTTTCACGTCTTTACACAAGATCGGAAAATCTCTGAAGTTTAAGATGATACCCGGCTGTCCTGTGGTGTTTATATTTTTTCATTGCTTTGTTCTGTATGGAATTTTGTTATAATAACTAATGGTAATGGGCATTTCCTGATATTTATATAATTTTAATAAACCACCTTCAAAATTACAAAGCATTAGTGATCGGATCTAGGCTTTATTCCCATCTTCTATCAGTGATTCACTCTAAAAGGTGGTTCAATGAAGCAGCTATGATGAGGCAGTGCTAGAATTAAAAGGGAAATCAGGGTCTTCCCTGGTGGCGCAGTGGTTAAGAATCTGCCTGCCAATGCAGGGGACACGGGTTCGAGCCCTGGTCTGGGAGGATCCCACATGCCGCGGAGCAACTAAGCCTGTGAGCCACAACTACTGAGCCTGCGCATCTGGAGCCTGTGCTCCACAACGGGAGAGGCCGTGACAGTGAGAGGCCCACGTACCGTGATGAAGAGTGGCCTCTGCTCTCCGCAACTGGAGAAAGCCCTCGCACAGAAACGAAGACCCAACACAGCCAAAAATAAATAAATAAACTTTTTTTTTTTTTTTAAAAAAAAGGGAAATCAGGTACCCTTGTGAGGGGCAGGCTTTGAGAACGCAAACCTGATGATAATAGAAAACATCACCAACTCACAGCAATATACGTGGATTTGAAACTGTTTCCTGGAGAATGTTTCCGATATGGGGCAGAACTCTCACATTTGAAGGCTCTAAGTAATGACAGGCAAAAAGTGAAAATGTCTCAGTGGCCTGACAGCCACGCCCTGGAGAGATGGCCTAAGGAATATTCTTTGTACTTTACATCCGCGCTTTTCTTTTTTCCTTCCAACTCTTTCATTTTTTTAAAAAAAATACATTTATTTATTTATTTTTGGCTGCGTTGGGTCTTCGTTGCTGCACACGGGCTTTCTCCAGTTGTGGCTAGTGGGGGGCTTCTCTTGTTGCGGAGTACGGGCTCTAGGCGCACGGGCTTCAGTAGTTGTGGCTCGTGGGCTCTAGAGCGCAGGCTCAGTAGTTGTGGGGCAAGGGCTTAGTTGCTCCACGGCGTGTGGGATCTTCCTGGACCAGGGCTGGAACCCGTGTCCCCTGCATTGGCAGGTGGATTTTTAACCACTGCGCCACCAGGGAAGTCCCCAACCCTTCCATTTCACAAAGCTTTAACTTCTCCAAGTATCACATACCCCTTTGCCACTTAGAGGGGCAAGGAATACTCCAGTGTTCAGGCCTCAGGTCCTTCCTGGGCTTTGGTGATCTGTCCTTCTCATCCTGGCTTTATAACGTGTTCCCCTAAGTTTGCCTAGTCACCTGTTTCTCGAGTTCCTCCTGAATCTTCCTATATAAACCTGTCTAAATGATGCAAGGATTTTCTATCTAATGAATACGGGATTTTCTCCACTGCAATGACACCCAGGCTGTGTCTACCACACTCTCTCTACAGCTGCACTTGTTGGAGTTTTATTTACTCCCTACTTTTCTTATGTCCCCTAATTGAATTTCCTCAATACCGATTTCCTCTCCTCTCAGGCCCCACTGCCACTACTTCTTCATTTTCACAATCACCTTGCCTCATCTAGGAGGTTGCTCTTTTCCTCTGAGGGATGTGGTGGGCAGTGGGGCAAACTGGCACCTCGGGGGGAGGGGGCCTTAGCCACCTGCAGCCTGTGGTCCAAACAGCAGGCTTATCGCGGACACCATTACAGAGTCAAAAATCCTAGCTCACTTTTGGAGGGTTTAATTATGCCTTGTGCTCCTCAGAACTAAGCAGAAACAGGGATTCTCTCTTTTTTTTTTTAACCCTTTTTTTCTTTTTCTTTTTTGGCCTCGCCATGAGGCATGTGGGATCTTAGTTCCCCGGCCACAGATCGAACCCGCGCCCCCTGCAGAGGAAGTGCGGAGCCTTAACTACTGGACCAGCAGGGAAGTCCCCAGAAATAGTGATTCTAATTAGCATATTTACAGAAACAATACAAGTAGATCGATACAATTGTACACTTCACTTATTAATAGCTTAATGGTTCTCCATCATTGTTTAATTTGCCCTGGCTTCCCTTTCAGCTTTAATTAGCACAATTTTTGAAGTTGTTAATTTAGTGACTATTTTCACTTAAGCAAGGCCTGCTAGTGTGTGCCAGATGGTAAACATCAAAAACCCAGAGGGAAGGTTTCTGTTTAGCCTTTGATTTTTGTTTTGTTTTTATTAAGCCAGAGAAAGCTTCGATTGTGCTGATAATTTGTAAGCATACATCACCAACTTTTATCTTCCTTCAAATTCCCTGTTCTCCCCCAGATATGTCTTCTACTGCTGGCCTAGGAGGGGCCAGGGAACTAGGCAGAAGCATGCCTGAATGGCTTGGGTGATAAGCCTCATAAAGTTATTTTTCTCAATTAATGGTTTTCACTGACAATTTTACTGCTCTATTTTAAGCTTCCCCATTCCCTTGGGCATCTGTACATATGTCTGTGATAAGCCTCACCCAGTCCAACAACACTGGCTCCTCAGAATACAGACTACCCTATCTTAAAAAGCTCATCTCTCTTTTTGGAACATAACACTTGAAAATACATTTAAACAGAAAGTAATTGAGCTTTAAAGGAGAACTATAAAAGTGATTTATTCACGAGTACACACTTATTCCTCTCCCAAATGACACCCATTTTATATTAATTTTCCTTGAGTGTGTATCCGCAGCCTTTTTCTAAATGTTTACTACTAATAGAAACTGTTTATTCCACCCTTATTCCCTTCAACTCTGCTCTAAAGATTCTCATATGTGCTGAAAGGGATCTATTGGGGGTACAGAACCACAATTTGGGAAAGTCTGCTATGAAATAATAATGCTCCCTAGTCATAATCACTGACTTTTATTAGGTAGTCAATTAGCTATTTTTTAATTAGGGAAAGAAAAGAAAATTCTTAATTCATTTTTTCTGAAGTTATTTGAAATGCACTTTTATAATCATGTTCCATTGGTGGCAGGAAAGCTATGGAAATCATGCCTTTTTCTTAGATTAGTGGAACCTTCACTCTACAGATAAGTAATTTCTATAGAGAAATTTCTATAGGCTCTCCTCCCCCCACCCCAAAGGACTCACAGAAGAAGAAAGAACCAATGATAATAATGCTCCCTTTATACTGTACAGTTTTCAAAGCAGATTCATACACATCAGTTCATCCAAGCTTTTCTCTCTCTTTTTTTTTTAAACAGGTGGGAAAACAGAGGCTCAGAGAGAGAAAATAAAGGGCATCTTCAAGGTCACACAGCTAGTCAGTCAGTGTCAGAGACTAGGATTTAAACCACCACTTGATGATTCTGATTAAAAAAAAAAAAAAATTGGGGGACTTCCCTGGTGGTCCAGTGGTTAAGAATCCGCCTTCCAATGCCTGGGACGCGGGTTCGATCCCTGGTTGGGGAGCTAAGATCCCACATGCCCCAGGGCAACTAAGCCTGCGCGCAGCAACTTCTGAGCCCACACGCTGCAACGAAAGATCCTGCAGGCCGCAACAAAGACCCTGTATGCTGCAACCTACACCTGACACAGCCAAATAAATAAATAAATAAAATTTTTTTTAAATTAAAACAAACAAAAACACCAAATTCAATCCTGCAAATAGGATTAGAGATCCAGCAATTATCATTAACATTATGTTGGGGAATCTTTTGTAAGAAATACTTACCAGTGACTGTGCTTTTCCTAGTTTAGATCTGTCCTGTGATTTATTTTTCTTATCACGTGACTGTCGGTTGAAATCTGGGGTCATTTCGTGTCTTTTCCTTCTTCTGTAAATTGGAAAGCATTGGAATAATTATAAATATCATTTTAAAGCTTTGGTGGTTGGCATAGCTGTTTGTACATTTGATTTTGTTGTACCTGTGGTTTAAAAGACTGTCTTCACTCAGCTGGAAACAAGCCAAATATCTATCAATAGAGAATGGGTACAATAAACCCTGACACATCCACACAATGGAGGACTGTGAATTGTAAAAAGGAAGGCAGAATATTTCTTTATATAACTGTGGAGTGATCTCCAGGATATATTGTTACATGAAAAAAGAAAGGGGGATAAAGTGGTATGTATTGTGTGACACCATTTCTTTCAGAAAGGGGTGTGTGTGTGTGTGTGTGTGTGTATTTGTTTATATATTTTTAAATGGAAGGACTGCACCACGACATTTTGAAAACTAGTTACCTATCAGCAGGATTCCTTTGTGGTCCAGTCAGGAACAGGGAACAGTATGGAGGGGTCGGAACAGAAGCTAGACTTCTCCAAATACACTTTGTTTTGTGTATCTGACTTTGGAACCATATCAAAATTATAAAATAAAATGAAGGAAGAAAATTCCCAAAAATCTAAAAACAAAATGAAACAAATGATCTTATCTCTCCAGTTGGTGGCATTACCCCACATAAAGGAATCACTTCGTGGGACTTTAACATAGTAATTTGTCTGAATAGTCTTAGTAGACTATATCCTAAGGACAAAAACACAGGCAAAAAAATTTTAAACTGTTTTCAGCAATCCTGTTGTTTGCATTAACACTAATATTTGTTTTCTAAAACTATCGTATGTAATAGGACAAAGTAGGGATCCACAAACTACAGCCCAGAGGCCAATGCAGACTCATGCCTGTTTTTGTAAATAAAGTTTTACTGAAACACAGTCACTCTTACTTCTTACATATGGTCAATGGCGATTTTCAGGCTGCAGTGTTGGAGTTGAGCAGTTATGACAGAGATATGTCCTGCAAAGCCTAATGTATTTGCTGTTCAGCCCTTTCCAGAAAAAGTTTGCCTAAAATAATGGACTAAGGCAATGATCATCAATGGCCACTAACATCACAAAAAGAGAGACAAACAGAAACCATGTGCTTCATGATGGAAGTACCTAAGCATTACATACTCAGGCCTCCAGATCTGAAGACTGGTACTTGTACAGGAGACAGAGGAACATGCTGGGAGTACAGTCCCCAAAAACCAGAAGATGAGAAGGTCTGTAGGATAAATGACCTGATTTCTATAACAAACAAATTGCAAGGGAAAAAAAAGGAGGGCAGAGAAGAAACCTATGGATCAAAAAAACCCAAAAAACTTAAGTGACACATGGACCAAATGTAATATGTAGACCTTATTTGGAACCTGCTTAAACAAATCAACTGTTGAAAAATATCAAACCCTTATGAGACATTCAAGGAAACCTGAAAACCGACTTGATTCTTGATTGATTATATTAAGGAATCATTCATTGACTTAGAAGTGATATGGTATCATCTTATGATTTTTAGACAGTCTCTCTTTTAAGGAGAGGCCTTGAAATATGTATGAATGAAATAATATGACATTTGGATTTGTCTCCAAAGTAACCAGGGGGAACAGCAGAGTGGGTGAGGAATGAATGAAACCAGACAGGTCATGTGTTGGAAACTGTTAATGCTGGATGGTGGTTATAAGAGGTTCTATTCTCTTTACTTTTCCATATATTTGAATTTTCATTATAAAAAGTTTTATTGGGACTTCCCTGGCGGTCCAGTGGTTAAGACTCCATACCTCCATTGCAGGGGGCCCGGGTTCAATCCCTGGTCGGAGAACTAAGAGCCCTCAAGCTGCGCGGCCAAAAAACAAAACAAAACCAAAAAAGACCAGCTTTGCCCAAATATTTCCTGATACTTAATTTTCAAAAATTTCCACCAGCTTTTTTTTTTTTTTTTTCGGTACGCGGGCCTCTCACTGTTGTGGCCTCTCCCGTTGCGGAGCACAGGCTCCGGACGCGCAGGCTCAGCGGCCATGGTTCACGGGTCCAGCCGCTCCGCGGCATGTGGGATCTTCCCGGACCAGGGCACGAACCTGTGTCCCCTGCATCGGCAGGCGGACTCTCAACCATTGCGCCACCAGGGAAGCCCTCCACCAGCTTTTAATTAAGAAATTTCAAACATACAGAATAGTTGAAAGAACAGTAAAGTGATTACCCATATACTCTCCAACTAGATTCAACTGATAACATTTTGCTATTTTTGCTTCATCTCTGTGTATGTGTATATATATTATCCCCTCCCCTGGGCCATAAAAATGTAAATTGCAGACACTTCATCCCCAAATACTTCACTCATCTCCTAAGGTAAAGGCATTTGCCTACCTAACCACACTAGTGCCATCATACCTTAGAAAATGAGCAGTAATTCTTTAATGTCATTTTAATATATGGTCCATATTAACTTTCTGCAGTTAACCTGAGTGCCCATTATAGTCTTTCTTTTTTGAACCAGATCCGGCCTAGATTCCAACTGCATTGGTTTGTTATGTCTCTTATGTCTAGAACATTTTCCCCCGCCTCTTTTTTCCCCCTACAGCACTGACTCTTGGAAGAGTTCAAGCATCTGGTCTATTTTGGTGAATGTAGCACATGCACTTGAAAAAAAATGTTTGTGGAACTGTATGTTTATCTTTTAAAATCTTTCAGTTTTTGCTTTCTGTACTTTTAGGCTTTGTAATTACGTACATATGCATTGCAACAGTTATGTCTTTCTGTTTAGTTTATAGATCCCTGTATCATCATATGAAATGTCCCTCTTTTTGTTTGGGAATACTCTGTCTTTATGTCTATTTTAACTGATATTAACGGTCATTCTAGCCTTCTTATGCTTCCTCTTTGTATGGTACATCTTTTTCTACCACTTTATTTTTAAGTCTAACTGTGCCTTAGTATTTAAGATGTAGCTCTTGTAAAAAAGCATATAGTTGGTTTTTGCCTTTTTTACCCATTCTGATAATCTCTGCCTTTTAATTGGAGTGTTAAGTACATTTAATATAATTATTGCCTTTCACAAATAGTATTTGAGTCTCACAGAAAACTCAGGAGACTATTGGTTTTTCTCAGGTTAATGTACCATTCATAAGCCTAGGTAACTAAATTTGCCTCTCTCTAATTTACCAACCTAGTCCAGACTAAGGGCCACAAACAAACTTAGACACTATCCTCAGGGATACACCGACCAATACACAGTTAATACGTTCACAGTGGTTCCAAATTCAAGAGTTCAAAAGGATATACAGTGAAACTTTCCTGTCCATCCTTGTCTCCAACTTACCGTTCTCCTTGAAGGCAAATGGTAGTATCAGTTTCTTGTGTTTGTTCCCGAGATATTGTATGTATATAAAAATATGAATGTGTATATATGTATCTTTCTCCTCCACCCATTTAAATGTAAACAGTAGTATTTCTTTCAAACTCTGTTTTATACCTTGTCTCCCCGCCACCCCCCTCGAACTTTCTAAATTATCAGCAAACTATTTAGACTTTTTCTGATACAACTAGATGAATGTGAAGTTCATGCATCAAAAGGCTACACTTCCTTTGAAATCCACCATTTAATGAGTATTGCAATGATAGTCAGTGGTAACAAAGACGAGTAAGGCATAGTCTGTGCTCTCAAAGAGCTCAGTTGTTGCTTAATTAGGGATACCACTCTCATCTCACCTCCAAAGGACCCCAAAGTAATTTGAATGTTCCTAAGTCATCAAGCCTTCTGGGATTACCCTTTCCTTTTTTAGCCAAATAATATCCTTTTAGAAGCCATCCTACTAAAAAAAAAAATGCTTACTTACTATGTGTCAGGCACTATTATAAGCATGCTACATATATTAATCCTCACAGTGATCCTATGACTTGGGTATTACTACTATTGCCATTTTACCGAGGTGGAAACAAGCACAGAGAGGTTAAGGGACTCCCCAGGGTCACACAGCTAGAAGTGTGGGAGTCTGGATTTGAACCCATGCACTATGGCCCCTGAGCCTGTACATTGTCACTATCTTATGCTGCCTTGATGTTAATCTGTTGAAATAGAACCTAAAACTATGAAAAATGTATTAAAACATTTTCAAATTTTGTTTCCTTAATTTCTTGTTTATCCTGTGTACGTGCGTGTGTGTGTGTTAACAAATGAACAGATACATATATACATACAGATGTATATTTTCTTACTCTCTTTTCTTTCTACATTATGTGTAGGATACTAGAGACACTCTTTTGCAATTTGCTTTTCTCACTTAACTATGTACCCTGGAAATCACTCCTTACCCGTTCATAGAGATGTTCCTCATTCATTTTTACAGTTGCCTAATACTCCATTGTGTGAATGGACCATACATAGTTTATTCAACAAACACTCTCCTATTTATGGGCACTTAAGTTATTTCCAATATTTCAAAGTCATAAACAATACTGCAATAAATATCCTTGTGCTGACGTACTTTTGGTGTTTTCAAGGTTGATTCCTAGAAGTGGGATTGCTGGGTCAAAATAAATACAGATATTTTTTGCTGGATGCTGTACAATTTTTCTCCACAAGGTTTGCGCCGATGTATATTCCCACCAGCAGTGTATGAGGGTGCCTGCTGGCCCACAGCCTCACCAACAGAATATATTGACAAACTTTAAAGTTTTTGCCGATCAGAGAGTTGAAAAATGGCATATTTTGCAACGTTGTGCAAAAAGCAACACTGGGAGGATAAACCAGAAACGCACGAGATTTGTAAGTGGGAATGGAGTGGAAAAGATGAGTGTGCGGTAGAGTGGAGGAGATGGAGGGGGTGATTCTCTGAGTCCACCTTCTGTACGCTTTTTGTATAGTTTTACATAGTTTTAACTCTAGAATCACGTAACATACTCACATGGGGAAAGGGATATTTAAAGAAAAGAACCCACATGACGTTTGAACACAGTAGTATGAGTATATACCCAGGCTAAAGGCAAAAAGAACCAGAAACAAATATTGAATTCTAGTTAGATTTGTTTCGATAATGATATGAGTTAGCAATTCTGAAATTACTTTCAGAATTTGTTAAGTAAATATATACTCTGTGTATGTACTATATATAATACATTTTATATAAAATTATATATGTACATATAATATATAATCAAAATTATATATGTATATATATGGAGATATGTATATGGAGATGTACATATTTGTATATCCCTCTGTCACGGAAGGGAGATACAACTGTGGAAAAGGAAAAAGAAAAGAATAGAATGAACCTTATGGTACTGGATTGGAATTTGAGGTATTAAAATATTAAAAGAAGCTGTAAGGAAAGCATTACAGCTACAAAATGCAAACAAATCCTAAAGAACCGGACAAATTTACCAATAATGGTTCATTTACTTTTCAATTACTTTTTGCTTCTACGTAGTGAAAAGCATTTGTATTTCACAGTAAGTTCTGTTTTCATCTTTTCATAGACTGAAGTGTCAGTAGATTGTTTCTAAAAGCAAAAGAAGTGGAGAAGGGCATGACTCTCACCCTTGCCAGCTTTGCTCAATGGGGTCACAGTTGTCCAGGTAATTGAAGCGAATGATATCAGTTGGATGTTTGTCAGAGGATCGCCAGGGTGGGAGTTCTTTCTCCCCTGGGTGGTTCTTCTTTCTCAAAGAGGAAGAGGACCGGAAAGCTGATGAAGGGGATGGCTTTTCCTCTGGAGAACTGCTTGTAACTGGTTGAACATCAGCTATCACAAACCCATCTTTTGGAGGTGTCTAGAAGAAGAAAATTAATTATTTCTGTTCCCAAAATACTATAATAATAACAGAAGTAAAACAAAGAACATCATCATCACCGTGATGGCAATGATAACGGTGACGATGATTATAGCAGCCACCAACCCAGGACTACTTGCTATGTGCCAGGCACTGTCTCAGAAGTGTTCATGCGTTACTTTATTTAACCTTCACAATAACTCTAAAAGGTAATTGTAACGACTCCCATTTTACAGAAGAGGAAACTGAAATAGGATAAACTAATTAATTTGCTCACTACTACTACGTAAGTAATGACCCAGGGTCAGAATTTGAATCCAGGACTACCCTGCTTCAAGTCCACACACTGAACCTCTCTATCCTGAACTGTCCCCTCTCCTACAATATCATTGTACAGTTTTCCACAATTGCAGTTAATTTATTCATAAAAATATACACATTCTAAAAAAAGTACCCCAGCCCTAAGTATACCTAAAACAGAGACAATTTCGATTATGTAGGGGTAGACTTCATAGATATTTTCAGTTATCAAAACTTCAGCCATTCGCAAGGAATACGTCTGCTTTTTTTTTTTTTGCGGTACAGGAGCCCTCACTGTTGTGGCCTCTCCCGTCGCTCCGCGGCATGTGGGATCTTCCCAGACCGGGGCACAAACCTGTGTCCCCTGCCTCGGCAGGCGGACTCTCAACCACTGCGCCACCAGGGAAGCCCTGAATACTTCTGCTTTAATTGCCCCAAATGAAAATCTATTTTTTGTGTATAAAATTCATAAGGTTTTTATGTGGTTGTAGCCTAAGGGAAGTGGTAGTGGTACGCTGAGAAGCCATTAAAGGTTTAATTTTTGTTCTTTAAGAGATTAGGGGAGCTTTGCTCAGTAAATTGGTTTGCTTGACTTGTTTGTGAAAATTAAAAAATTCCCCAGTCTCTCCAAGCAGAGTCGGTTAATTTCTTATCCTTGTTTCAACTGTTCTTTGTATATATTTCTACTACCAGATAGCACTTAGTATTCAACGTTGTAATTATTTGCTTGTCTGTGTCCTGGGCCACTAGACTAGGCTTCCAGAAAGCAGGGTTAAGACCATTGTACTCTTAGCACCTAGCACATAACAGTATTTAATAAATATTTACTCATTTAGTGAGTGATTGCAATTAATAGAGTAAGAAGACATTTTACATTTATATAACTGCTAGCTCATTACTGGTTTAGTATTCAATATTTTGTGCAGATCTCATTTTAAATGGACATTCAGGGAATTCCCTGGTGGTCCAGTGGTTAGGACTCTGTGCTTTCACTGCCTAGGGCTCGGGTTCGATTCCTGGTCAGGCAGCTAAAATCCCAAGCCACACAGACACGCAGACAAAAAAATGAAATAAAAAAAATAAATAAAATGGACGTTCATTTCATTTCTCTGAGTTCATATTGAATGAAATCTGTCTGTTTTTGCTGGAAGAGGTCTTATTTAACACCATTGGGAATAAATAATACATGATAATAAAAAGCAATTTCAGGGAAGAAAATTTAGGCGTGCATGCTACTAACTATATATAAATAAGCGTCATTAATTCTGAAAAGTACACAATATTTGACCCATTAACAGAATAGGTAAGAAAGAAAAACTGATGACTTTTCTGTTAAGTAAACAAAAATCTTATTCCCTTTACCCAAAGTCTTTTTGAGAATTTTTAAAATCGTGAATGTTGAAAAAATTTTGCATGCTTTTGTTTGCATATATTGAAATGACCATACATCTTTTCTCTTTTATTATGTGAATTACATGGATTGATTTTTGAATATTATGCCAAATTTATTCTCCTTAGAGACATCCCACTTGGTCATCATTTATTATTCTTTTTTTATATATTACTGGATTTAATTTGCCAATATTTTTAAAGGATTTTTATGTCTGTGTTCATGAGGGGTATTGGTCTGTGGTTTTGTTTTGTTTTCTTTTAAAGTCTTTATCTAGTTTTGGTATAAAGGTTATGAGTTGGGCAGTGTTCCCTCTTCCTCTATTTTCTGAAAGAGTTTATGTAGAATTGGTATTAAAATTGGTATATTAAAAAGTACTACCTACAGAAATTTAATACTAAGCAAAGATGTGGCAATTTTCTTGCATCAGAACTATTCATTATTTTAAAATATAGTTATGCATAAATATTTTGTGGAGAAAGAGTTATTGCTGAAGACGAAGCATTAAAGTCAGTGTTGTATATAATACTCAAAACCTTTTTTCATTCTACAAGTTGGTTAATCACTTTTCTCTCCTCTGCCTCAGACCAGCCCATGCTTCAGCCATTGAATGCCATTTCCTGCCTACAACTGAGAACGAGAGTCAAGAAAAGCCTCATGGGGACTTCGCTGGTGGCGCAGTGGTTAAGAATCCGCCTGCCAATGCACGGGACACGAGTTTGAGCCCTGGTCCAGGAAGATCCCACATGCCGCAGAGCAACTAAGCCTGTGTGTCACAACTACTGAGCCTGCGCTCTAGAGTCCACGAGCCACAACTACTGAGCCTGCATGTCTAGAGCCCGTGCTCCGCAGCGAGAAGCCACCGCAATGAGAAGTTCATGCACGGCAACGAAGAGTAGCCCCCGCTCGCGGCAACTAGAGAAAGCCTGCGTGTAGCAACGAAGACCCAACGCAGGCAAAAGTAAAAATAAATTTTTTAAAAAAGAAAAGAAAGAAAAGTGTTTTGATAAAAAGTCATAGCTATTGTAATTTTTTAAATAACTTGTCTACCAGTTCAGTTTAAAAATTTCTTTTTTTGGCTTCCCTGGTGGCGCAGTGGTTGAGAGTCCGCCTGCCGATGCAGGGGACGCGGGTTCATGCCCCGGTCCGGGAGGATCCCGCATGCCGCGGAGCGGCTGGGCCCGTGGGCCATGGCCGCTGGGCCTGCGCGTCCGGAGCCTGTGCTCCGCAACGGGAGAGGCCACAACAGTGAGAGGCCCGCGTACCGCAAAAAAAAACAAACAAACAAAATTTCTTTTTTAAAGAAATCCTCATGGAGAACACCAATTATTGAACTCAGAAAGACTAGTTTTATCATTGCGATTATAACAATATTAATTATGCATAGTTTATTACTCTATTAAATGCAGATGGATTCTTCTTCGAGCAAACAATAGAACGAAACCTAAATGAGCACGCTAAATAGCTCAGGAGCTGACTCTTCATATTTCAAACGGATTCTTCAATTTGAAAAGGATTCACTGCAGCTTTTTTACAGAAAACCCCTGTGGTTTAAAAAATGATTAAAAAATTTTAATTTACACATAATTTTTCAGGAACTCATCTACTGTACAAAACTGCATAACTCCGTAAGTATATATTAGATCATGCCATAAAGAAAAAGCTCATAAAAATTTCCCGTAAGTTACCTAATTAACTGTGACTCCAAGAATGAACATAAACATTGGTTATAATGCATGCAAAAACCACTAGAAAATATTATGCTCAGATTATTTACTTTTTAGGATTATATGTACATGCTTTACATTGCTAGTTTCTAGGGTAAAAAGAACTTTAACATGCCCATATGCCCTTCCCTAATTACTAATTTATTGCAAAACTCATCTTTATAAATGATACAAAAATAAACTTCAGCTCGTCTGGTAGAATCATAGACAATTTGAATCAGTTAAGTAAAGTGTGATGACCCATAGGTAATAAGGACAGCACACTCCCCCAGAATCCCAGTGTCAGAACTCTGTGGTATAGGCGCCAGAGACACAGAAATCCAGGAATCTGAAGAGCGAGGAGCTCCCAGTCCTAACCTGGGTGGAACTGTGGTTTGGCAGTGTCAGGTGACAGTTCTCAGCTCACATGGATACCTTGAAAAGCGCCATCAAGTTCTCAGAAAAGGAGAATTTTAAAGTCACGTCGATAGTATATTTCCTTTGAGTCAACTGCCTTCCCCAACTTCAAGATGGATCATTTAGTCTTAGTTCTAGCATTCCTACATAGTGGATGTTTGTAATTTTGTTGCTTCTTTCCCCAAATTTACCTTGGGCTTGGTAACATGGAGTTCTTTCACCATGTGAATATAGTGTTTCTTCCATATACCCTGCTCAAAGGGAGTTGGAGAGAAATTGATGTACCAGTTAAACCGTAAACATTTGAGCATCCAGAGCTGATCCAGTTCCGTTAAGTTCTTCCAATGCCAGCTCACCTGGAAAAACAACAAAAATTAAAAAAAAAAAACAAAAAACTATTCAGTGTACATGCTCACTTTCTCTAGGTTTTGAGCTGTCCCTTTCCACCAAATCACAGCTTAGTTACCTACTGCCTAAAGTGCTGCCTAGCCAGGCAGAAGGATTTTTTTAATGTTAATTCAGACTTAGAATCAGAGTCAACTAATGTTTATTGAGCACCTATTAACCATTCTCATAGCAACTTAAGGAGGGAAGTATAATTATTATTCTCATATTGCAAATGAGGAAACTGAGGCTCAGATAGACTTTGGAACTTCCTAAAGGTTCCTGAAGGTCTCCATATGAAAGTTACAGAGACTCCGGTTGGCACATTGCTTATTCTTTTCATGATATGCTTCCTTTTTTTCCCTCCATTCTTATGATTTAACTAAATATAAACTTTATAAAGGGAACACCATTGCTAATACTATATTGGAGTGTCCTAAATAGCCTTTAAGTTTCAATAGAGCATTAAGTATTTGTTCTATACATTCCATTTCCATAGCTTTAGTGTCAATCCTACACATCCAGCAAATAGTGGAGGTGACCCTATTATGTGTAGTAGCACTTACAATAATTTACTCCAGGTATTGAGTTAGAAACTAGAGTCGAGTCCATATATAAAGTTGAGACCAGGCATTCTATGTCTCTTATCAAGAGTTGCAAAGAGGACAGCTAACCTTCAAACTCAAATTTCATCCTTGGAAAACTGGCCTATTTTTCAAGATTAACTATATAATGAATAATGTTTGAGTGCCCCCCAAATAAGCAGAACACTCTATAATGGAACTTGCTACCCATCCATCCATTTATCTATCCCTCTCTTCCTCCCTCCTTCCGTCCTATTATGTCTAGGATTGTTTTACGTGCTGAAGATGAGACGTGCAGAAGAGAGGCATGCCGGAGAGGGCACAATTAGAAGTAATGACAGGTTCAGGAGCTGGAAGAAGGAAAAAGCTTAGAGGATCTGATAGAGCCCTGAGGGCAGAAACAGAAATCACATCTACTTTGTTCAACCAGACATGAAACTACACAGACCTTAATCTCCGTATGGTTAGTTAACTCAATTCAATCGAGAGGTGAGGTTTGGGAAGGAGGGGATGGGGAGAAAAGTTGCTCAATTCTCACTCTTTTCCTCTGAAAAGAGGAACCTTAGATCTGGTTTAGACCTGGGTATTTAAGTTGGGGGTCCCCCCACCGGGGTAAATAAAGTTTTCTTTTCGTTGTTTTTTGTTTTTTAAACTAAACAGGAATGAGGAGAAGGGTAGGTAAGAACTTTCAAAACTATAAGACAGACACTTCCCTGGTGGCGCAGTGGTTAAGAATCCTCCTGCCAATGCAGGGGACACAGGTTTGATCCCTGGTCCGGGAAGATCCCACATGCCAGGAGCAACGAAGCCCATGCGCCACAACTACTGAGCCCACGTGCCACAACTACTGAAGTCTGCGCGCCTAGAGCCTGTGCTCTGCAACAAGAGAAGCCACTGCAATGGGAAGCCCGCGCACCGCAATGAAGAGTAGACCCCGCTCACTGCAACTATAAAAAGCCCGCGCACAGCAATGAAGACCCAATGCAGCCAAAAAAAAGACAAAGTTAACAAAACAAAACAAAAAACTATAAAGCATCCCCCACCATATTTTTAAACAACTCAAAGCTCATTTTGGTGCAATGACTTTACTGTTTACTTTAAATCTAGCTGAAGAACAACTGCTTCACAGTCAATTCTGGGAATAAAATACGATGCTGAAATCTTGCAAGACTGACATATGGTGCACATAGATGAGAGGATTAGTTAATTTAAAATAACATCTCCCTGGAATGATAACATTCTCATTGTGAAACACTTGGAAAATTCTGAGAAGCTTGAAGAAAAACAATACCCATAACCCCATCAATCAGAGATGACCATTATTAACAACTTGGTAGAGTTCTTTTCCTTGCCATCTGTTTCCTAGGCATATACGAAACAAAACTGGGAAACTCTGTATACAATTTAAAATCATGCTTTCTTCATTTTACACATAATAAGCATCTCTGTTCTTCCAAAACATGTTTTCTAATAGCTGCATAGTAATTCATCATATGACTGTATGATACTCTCTTATTATTGGGCATTTAAAATGCTATGTTGGGGACTTCCCTGGTGGCGCAGTTGTTAAGAATCTGCCTGCCAATGCAAGGGACACGGGTTCAAGCCCTGGTCCGGGAAGATCCCACATGCTGCGGAGCAACAAAGCCTGTGTGCCACAACTACTGAGCCTGCGCTCTAGAGCCTGCGAGCCACAACTACTGAAGTCCACATGCCTAGAGCCAGTGCTCTGCAACAAAGAGAAGCCACTGCAATGAGAAGCCCATGCACCGCAACGAAGAGTAGCCCCTGCTCGCTGCAACTAGAGAAAGCCCGGGCGTAGCAACGAAGACCCAACATAGCCAAAAATAAATAAGTAAATAAATGTATTTTTTTAAATGCTATGATTTTTTTTTTCTTTTTCTTTTTAAATATTTATTTATTTATTTTCTTATTTGGTTGTGCCAGGTCTTAGTTGCGGCAGGTGGGCTCCTTAGTTGTGGCATGCATGTGGGATCTAGTTAGTTGCCTGACCGGGATCGAACCTGGGCCCCCTGCATTGGGAGCACAGAGTCTTAACCACTGCACCACCAGGGAAGTCCCGCTATGCTTTTTTTTTTTTTTTTTGCGGTACACGGGCCTCTCAACTGTTGTGGCCTCTCCCGTTGCAGAGCACAGGCTCCGTACGCGCAGGCTCAGCAGCCATGGCTCACAGGCCCAGCCACTCCGCGGCATGTGGGATCTTCCCGGACCGGGGCACGAACCCATGTCCCCTGCATGGGCAGGCGGACTCTCAACCACTGAGCCACCAGAGAAGCCCCCGCTATGCTTTTTTAAAAAATTGTTTCATTTTTGGAATAAGTAATATGTGTACATTAATACTAAATTCAAAGATACCAAGGGGCACACGGTAAAAAAGAAGTCTCTCTCATCCCTATCATCTAGCCACTCACTTCCCTCCCTGGATGTAACCATTGTTACCAGCTTCTTGTGTGTCATTCCAGAATATTAACAGATATGGATGTACTCTTTTTTTTTCTTTCCAAAATGGTAGGACAACTCTGCACTTTTGCTTTTTTCACTGATGATATATTGTGGAGATGGTTGCAACCGGTCCCCTATTAGCAGACACTTCCATTGTTTCCAACATTTTGCTACTACAAACTATGTTGCAATATTCTTACACAGACATAATTTTTGCATGTGTTGAAGTATGCCCATCAGACAAATTCCAAGAAGTGGAACTGCTGGGGCAAAGGGAATCTTTATTTAAGAATTGAATGCTACAAATTGTTCTCCATCATGGTTGCATCAATTTTTCTACCAACAATATATGAAAGTGCTTGTTTCCCCACACCTCCACCAATATAAAATAGTATCATTAAAAAATATGACTCAACCCATCTGAGTCATGAAAGATGGTATGATAATGAGGCTAAACATTTTACATATTTTAGAAATATCTGCTTTTCTTTCTGTAAACTACTTGTTCGCTTCCTTTGCTCATTTTTCTGCTGGGTTGTTTTTTTTTTCTTAATGTAGATTTATAGTAGTTCTTTAAAAAATAAGGAAATTAGCTCTTTGCTGGCCATATGTTTTTCTCCCTGTGTACTTGGGCCCCCGGCAGTGAAAGTGCAGAGTCCTAATCACTGGACCACCAGGGAATTCCCTCCTTTGAGTACTTTAATGGTTTCCTTTAATTTCATATCAATCTTTTATCCTTCTAGAATTTTTTTCCAGATAGCTGCCCAATTGTCTCAACACCATTCATTGAATAATTCATATATCCTACTGCATTCATTTTCTTAATCTTAAAAACTAAAGTTACCATGTTACATGTATGTGAATGCAAAGTAACAGGTAATTTCTGGTCTTACTAGACTATGAAAAGAATCAACAAAATGACTATCAGTCTTATATCTTAAATAATATACTTTAATACACCATGGAATTGCTTGTAAGAAAATAATGGTCAGATCCTTTCCCAACCTCACCCCTGGGAGCACATCTGCCCACTCTGAAGACTTTTAGTCTCATATCCTTTTGTAATTATTGCATGAGCACCTTATTTTAAGCTTTTCTATTTATGAATGGCCTGCACTCTACAGTTTGGGATTTTACTGTAGTTCTGTGCCGTGCAATATAAGATTATTCTGCTGATGAACCATTACGTACATGTGTATTTGTTTCCCCAGCTAGTTAACACTATTTTGTGGACACTTAGTAGTGTCTTACACTTTTTCCCGCTCTTGAGCACTAAACGCAGAGTCAGACACAAAGGAGATGAGGGTTAATTCAAACTGTACAGACTAATCATACTGAGCATCTCATCTACTTCTTGGTTTTGTGTACGTGCTGTTTTTTTTCCTCAAGTGTCAGCGTTTTGTCTTTACAAGATGCCATACACCGCTTCTTTGTCTTTACCTGTGCACAACGACAAAGGCTTCGGGGATCCAGGAAAGAAAAGATATATAAAGATAACACCCTTGGAAGCTTGGTAGTAAAATCCAGAGCTTCTGCTGGAATTTTTTCCTGAAGCTTTCGACAGCAGAACTTTTGCTGTGACAGGGAGCAGCGTTCTAACAGCCCTGTCAGGATTCTTCTCCTTTGAGAGTCTGTCCATTTGTCAAACTGGGGGGAAAAAAAAAAGGAAAAGAAAATTTAAAAAGCTCCAGGTTTAGTCTGACACCAGAGATGCGTTGTAAAAAGAAGAGATAAGAATGGCATAGAAAGTGAGTTTAGTAATTTATTCCTAATGAATAGCATGTATTTCTTTCCCTAGCTAGTAAATTCCACGTTTTACCACTGATCTGCCCTTTCTCATGTTTGCGTGGGTGAGCCCATGCAAGACTGGGGTGTGGACACAGAAGTGCACTTGACCTCAAAACTTGGAGTTACATAAGAACAGTAAGTTGAGAGCTGGCCGTATTCATCAACTGAGAATATATATACTTATAAAATACAGATCTTCCTCAACTTCTGATGGGGTTACGTGCCGATACACTCATCATAAGTTGAAAATATCATAAGTCGAAAATGCATTTAATACACCTAACCTACCAAACATCCTAGCTTAGGCCAGCCTACCTTAAACGTGCTCAGAACACTTCCATGAGCCTACAGTTGGGCAAAATCATCTAACACAAAGCCTACTTTGTAATAAAGTGTTGACTATCTCATGTAATTTATTGAATACTAGACTGAACGTGAAAAACAGAATGGTTGTCTGGGTACAGAAGGTTGTGAGTGTATTCGCTGTGTATCCTCATGATCGCGTGGCTGACTGGGAACTGTGGCTTGCTGGTTGCCCAGCATCATAAAAGAATATCCTACTGCACACAGCTAGCCTGAAACCCCCCCCAAATTTACAATTTTAAATATGGTTTCTGCCGAATGTCTATCACTTTTGCACCATGATAAAGCCGAAAATTCACTAAGTTGCATCACCCTAAGTCGGGACCGTCTGTACAACCTCAAGAGAAGACAACTTGGGCAGCCTCTCTCCCCCAACAGTTTCTCTATTAACTCGTTAGTGATTAAAACTCCAGGATGAGAAACGAACCTTTGTGTTCACAATCGGAGATAAGGCGTAGCAAGCAAATATCCCTGAGAAGGGGAATATACAGGGTTAAAGTTCTACTAATATGTAAATGATCGATATGATTGCAAAGGAAAAGGTGATAGGGGGACCTGGGAAAAAAGTACCAGAGATAGGAAGGAGATGCCAAAACCATCTGGGGCATGCCAAACAAGAGCTTTGGTTACGTCACAATTTTCCTCAGAGATAACCCCAAACCAGTCCCAAGATCAGTGACTGATCAGAGGTAAGAACTTGAGGGCTGGCCAAAACCAAAAGAAAGCCTCTTAGGGGAACACCTAGCTGCTGAAGGGGCCATTACCAGGGTCTAAATCTCTCTTCTTTAGGCCGTTTAGGCCGAGAGAAGAGAAAACAGGGAAGTTTGGGGCTACTTGTATTTTGTATACTATTGCATTTAACATACAGAGGTTTATTCGTTATTATAAAGTAATCAGAATTTTATAATAAACTTTAGTTGTAATCATAAAATACACAGACCACCTAAAAAGGCATATAAAGTAAAAATGTATTTTTTATAAGCCTTATGACAAGTCAACGTCGTTATAATCATAGGATGTATCTATTTAATTAGTAGGAATACTTCTTCTTTTTTTTTTTTTTTTTTTTTTTTAGTAGGAATACTTCTTGATTAAAACTATTCACTGTTACAGATCTATTCAGTGACCCATGAATCTCACTTTGGAGACTATAATTCATGCGCAGGGGGTGGGGTTGGGGGGATGGGGATTCCTAAAATGAAAAAAAAAAAAAACCCAAAACCTTAACTTACAAATACGTGAATAAAATATATTCACGTGTGAGTGTTCCCAGATTTCTTCTATGTTTGTTTCTGCACAGTCCATATTTTCAACTCCCATAAAATGAGACTTCTTTCCTTTGGGGTTGGATTATTAGAATGAATATAGAGAAGCTGGGCCAGAATGGCCAGGGCCAGGGGAAGGGTCAGGCCCAAGAAGCTGCTTTGATCTATAAAATAAAGAGCCAACGGGGAGGCATACAGAGATAGAAGAGCTGCAGGGCTTGTAGGGAGTTTGAGGGGTTCAGACCGTAATTGCCTCTGCAGCAGTTATAGAGTGTGAGAGAACTGGGGAATGAAGGCAGGAGATGTGGGAAGTATTGTTATGAGTTTTGAATTGGATCCCCTGTGATTTTTCTTTGAGAGACCAAATGAATATTGGTATTCATTTTTAAAATTACTTTTGGGCAGTGCTATGTGGCTCTGTAGAAACTGAGCTACGTGGGGACCCAGGATGATTATGCTTACAGAATAATTTTTATGGGATATTATTAGCTCTGCAAGAAATCAGAAATAACTCCAAATGCCTAACAAGAGTGGATCAGCTCAGCAAACTAATATATCAGCATGATAAGAGAAAGTATGGCTTTACGGATGGATGGTGGATTTGGGAATGAGGCCATTTGAGTCTCACTAACAACCTCTTAATTTCTTCATTTACACATTAAGAATAATTATATCTAAATTGCAGGATTGTCATGAGGATTAAATAAAATATGTATAAAATTCCTAATATGGTGCATGATTCGTAGTCATGGCTGTTAATATTATAAAGTATCACAGTGATGTTAAAAATAATAAGTATGTGGGGTAAATCAATGTAAAAGGAATAGATATGCAAACAATTAAATTACAAAGCATAAAATTACCAGGTTTGTACATTGACAAGGACGGGAAGTACATTTCGAATGACTGAGGTTAGCTCAATTACTTTCATGGATGCCCACAAAAAGAGAATGAGCTCAGATTGAAGAACAAGTGATTTAGAATGAACATAAAAGAACATTAGGATTATAAAATGCTGAAGAAATCTATAAAAGAAAACATTAAAACATTTTCCCCTAGAGATTAAAAAGATCATTACATTGGTTCCTCATTTATTTCCCTGATTACAACAAAGATAATTTGTATTTGGCTTTGATTGGTGTTCTTTGCCTTGAGGGATTTTCCTTTCTAATTGTGTTTATTTAGGCTAAAAGAAAACTAATTTGCATTCCTTGAACTCCTACCAATTGAAGGTGGGTAGATGACTCAGAAGAATGCTGAACAGTTGGGGAAAATCCCTTTGGAATTTAAAAGGTGCTAGGAATAATCCAAAAGGTAAATAATCCGTGGAAGAGTTAACTGTACAGGAATTTGGTAATCTCCCAGTATCTCTTTTTTTAATTTTAATTTTTTAACTGAAGCATAGTTGATTTACAATGGTTTAGGTGTATAGCAAAGTGATGGTTTTATATATATATATCTATATAGAGATATAGACAGATAGATTCTTTTTCAGATTCTTTTTCCATTATAGGTTATTATAAGATATTGAATATAGTTCCCTGTGCTATACAGTAGGTCCTTGTTGTTTACCTATTTTACATATGGTAGTGTGTAGCCATCCCAACATTTCTTGCATCACCTCTCAAGAAAAAAGAGCCATAACATTGTAGCCAGGGATCTAATGTGTGAGACTGGGGAGCAGCTAGGATCACTTTCCTATCCTGGTAGGTACCTCACTTCACAGTTAGTTCCTTTTTAATGTTATATATTATATGACACTATGCTATATTATATTATGCTATACTATCTTATATCATATCATATTATATTTTATAATTATTTTTAATGCCTTTTTATAGGGCTTTCTTGACAATAGAATTGTGAAAATCCTATTTTCAGAGTAGTTGTTACACGATTCTTGCTGCACTTTCAGGAAGTGAGGACAGTGGCTAGAGTGTCAGTGCCACTCATCTTACACTGAATAGCAAGGAAAGTTCCCGGGGAGTGAGGGGCAAGATGAAGACAGAGGCCTGTTATTTTTTGCTTACTGGTTATATTATCTCAATCTGCTTGAGTTTCTGAATCTTATTATCAAACACTTAATTTCACAATAAAAACATGAATACATTATTGTTTTAAAAGTTTCAGATAGGTACTTGCAGAATTAAACATGAAAATCCTCTTTATTCCTTCCCATCAAATCTCACTCCATTCCCCAGTAATAACCACTGTTTACAGTTTGATGTTCATGCGATTCTATGCATTTACGTATACATACAGTCATCAATAGGGAAGCAGTTGAAACAACAAGGTCCTATTGTATAGCACAGGGGACCATATTCAATACCCTGTGATAAACCATAATGGAAAAGAAAATATACATATGTATAACTGAATCACTTTGCTGTACAGCAGATTAATACAACATTGTAAATCAACTATACGTCAATAAAATTTAAAAAAAAATAGAGGGGCTTCTCTGGTGGCACAGTGGTTAAGAATCTGCCTGCCAATGCAGGGGACATGGGTTTGAACCCTGGTCCGGGAAGATCCCACATGCTGCGGAGCAACTAAGCCCATGCACCACGACTACTGAGCCTGCGCTCTAGAGCCTGTGAGCCATAACTACTGAGACTGCATGCCACAATTACTGAGGCCTGCGCGCCTAGAGCCCGTGCTCTGCAACAAGAGAAGCCACCGCGATGAGAAGCCCACGCACTGCAACGAAGAGTAGCCCCCGCTCACCACAACTAGAGAAAGCCCATGCGCAGCAGTGAAGACCCAAAGCAGCCAAAAATAAATAATTAAATAAATAAATTTATTTTAAAAAATAGGGAAGCAGTTAAATAAGAGTATACCCACCCCATGGAATACTACACAACAGTTTTAAAAACAAACAAAATATAGCCATAAACGTCCAGATATGCAATGAACTTCAGAGCATGATATTTTCTCCAGTCATTCATAGAAGTACACATATGCCATGATCTATTTATTCAATATACTACTGATACCATTTAGGTTGTTTCCAAAACACACACACACACACACACACACGTGCCTACACACACTGCAATATTCTTGTGCACGTTTTTTCATGTCCTATGTCTATATTTCTCTAGTCCAGATAAACAGAAGTGGAATTATAGGTTCAAAGATTCTGCATTTAAAATTCTAATAGATCCTGTCAAATTGTCTTTAAAAAGTCTTTATTATTTTACATTCCCTCTAATTGTGTTTTAAGCATATCCTACTACTCCCCAATGAATGCTTACTTACGCTGGATATTATCTATCTCTTCAATTTTTGCCCCATAGACCAAGAGAGGGGTTGGGAATCTCATTATTTTAATTTGCATTTCTCTAATTTTAGTAAAAAGAACATAGTTTCCATGTTTATTGGCCACATATATTTTTGTGTATTTCTCATTCTTCTATTGGCCCATTATTCTGTAGGGGTATTTGTATTTTTCTTATTGATTTGTAGTAACTTCATATATCTCAGCTATTAATCTTTTTTCAATTTTTTTATTGACGTATAGTTGATTTACAATATCGTGCCAATCTCTGCTGTACAGCAAAGTGACTCAGTTATAGACATATATACATTCTTTTTTAATATTCTTTTCCATTATGGTTTATCACAGGATACTGTATATCGTTCCCTGTGCTATACATTAGGACCTTGTGGTTTATCCATTCTAAATGTAATAGTTTGCATCTACCAACCCCAAACTCCTAGTCCATCCCTCTCCCTGCCACCTCCCGCCTTGGCCACAAGTCTGTTCTCTATGTCTATGAGTCTGTTTCTGTTTTGTAGATAGGTTCATTTGTGCCATATGTTAGATTCCACATATAAGTGATATCATACGGTATTTGTCTTTCTCTTTCTGACTTACTTCACTTAATATGGTAATCTCCAGGACCATCCAGGTTGCTGCAGATGGCATTATTTCACTCTTTCTTATGGCTGAGTAGTATTCCATTGTATATATGCACCACATCATCTTTATCCATTCATCAGATATTAATCTTTATCAAGCAACTTGCAAAATATTTTCCTGTTTCTCTTTTGAATTTTAACTCTGATTATCGTTGTTTCCAGCAAGTTAAAAGTGATGCCATCTACTTTAATCAAATTCTTTATAACATTACAATTATTTCTAACAACATAGCAGAAGCTGAGAAAAAGTCTGAAATACTATCTTTTCAGCTGAAATACTTCTGCTGGTGTTTTCTGTCCATTGGGAAGTAGTTGCCTTTTCTAACAGGGATTGAAGGGCAGAGAAGATTTAAGAGAAAACGGATTAAGTAATAGCATGGAACAGCAAAGTTGAAGAGCTTTTTTTCAGTTTCTCTCAATCATTTTGTTTGTAACTATACAGAACATCAGACATTTGCCATGTGCAAATGTATGAACAAAAATGACATTCTATGGCTAAATATAAAATACTTTTGAATTGTTTATCATTGAATAGGTCTCATATTAAATCTTGCCTCTTACTATCCAGATTGTTTTAAAAAATGACTTTATTTCTAATACTAGATGGACCTTTAAAACCAATACTTAGTCCCTACAATGAATATCCCAAGTAATGTTATGTTTAAATCGACATCCTTATTTCTCCTTTCTTTTTTTGGAAAATGCATTTCTTATGTTATCAATCTCTTAATGTTGTTTGTAAAGTACACAAACAAAAACCCTAAAAACTAAAATGGAGAGAGAAAACTGAATTAAAGTAAATTGGAGGGACTTCCCTGGCGGTCTAGAGGTTGACTCTGCACTTCCATTGCAGGGGGCATGGGTCTGATCCCTGGTTATGGACCTAAGATCCCGCATGCCACAGGGCAAGGCAAAATAAAATAAAATAAAATAAATTGGAAATATCCCCTTGAAACTTAATTGATGTAGCTTTCATGGGGGTATAAAGATTACTATGTGATCTAGTGAATTTAAGGAATAAGTTTGTTGTTAGGCAAAAGAGAAAAACCAGTGAGTATCATTTAGAAAATATTTATTAAATGTCTGATAGCATCAAGGAATGTGTAACAAGGAGTATGATAGAACCATGCCTACCCCCTGTAGTTCAGCCAATTGCAGTAGATAGATAATTAGTGATCTTTGCAAATATATGTTTCTATTAGTTATGGTAAAAGAAAAGAATAAACAGGACCTTTTAAAAAGTTTGAAGACCTTGAACTTCATCCAGGGTGATATTGAAAATATTTAACAACTGGCAACGCTAACAACCAATCAAAACAGACAGTAGCTGGTCAGCCATACCACTGAGCACTGGCAGAACATTAGCCCTGGTTATATTAATTTAGGGATTTCCACTAGTAGTAAGTGGAATGACTGCAAATACAGTCATTCTAAATAAATGTCTTTTTTAAGTTTCTGGTAACAGATGCAAAGTTAGTTTAAAACATAAATAGAATATGAGAAAAACTTAGCTAGACTGCAGTATTTTAAAATTAATTTTTAGTGAATTTATTTTAGAATATATATATATATATATATATATATTTTTTTTTTTTTTTTGGCCCACACCGTGCGGCATGTGGGATATTAGTTCCCTGACCAGGGATTGAACCCATGTCCCCTGCATTAGAAGCATGGAGTCTTAACCGCTGCACTGCCAGGGAAGTCCCTTTAGTGAATTTATTTTATAAAATTTTAGTACTATTTTGAATAGGTAATACATTCACACGATTAAAAACATTCACATGGTTAAAACTTCAGAAGGTACAAAAGACTATTCACCTAAAAGTGCAAGTTTTTGCATAGCCGTGTTTTCAGTTCTCTGAAGTGAAGAGACTAGCAGGTGAGACTGCAGAGGAATTTGAGGAGGAGTACGCATTGCTCAGAGATGGGGACTTTGATCATGATGGACAATAGTCACTGAGACTGTGTTTCCTTTGAGGAAGAGTGTGAAAGTCTTTGTGCTAAGGATAGTCATATCTTGTTAGGTAAAAGCATGTTGTTACAGTGTTCCTTTGGAAGTTTAAGCATATGTAGAGGGGTGTATATGGATGCTAAGGGGTTAAGTGGGGGAGCTGTGCTGGTTTCTAAGCTATCCTCTCTCAGATCCAAACCCACCCCATATTCTGTGAATATGGAAGGCTAGGGCTCCACAAACCAAGCTTCTCCTTTGACGGCGGGCTCCCTGTTAAATACTGCCAATGGGGAGGGTCACTAGAGGGAAACTGAGGGAGAAGAACCTCACTCCTTTCTGTTTCCTTGCTGTTCCTGGCACTTATCACCTTAGCTCTTCACCCTGGCAGTAGCAGTTGATTCCTGAATCCTGTTTTTTCCACACTCCCAGAACCATCATGCTTCCTCAGATATAGCAGAATCAGCTGGCCATGATATCCTCTATTTTATTCTGTAGACGTCCCCTACAGGGATGGTCCCAGCTCCAGAGTCCTTTCCCTGGGCTCCTGAGGTATCAGTGAAGCTGGTGGTAGCTACTTCCTGCATCTCTAGCTCCACGGTACCTCAGTGTTCCCTTTTTGTCTTTTCTGTCTTCTGGTATTTATTTAACCAGTTCTATTTATTAAATTATGTCTGTTAAAATAACTGGCATGATTTCTTTTTTTCTGACTGAACCTTAACTGATACATACAGAAAGTACCAGTCAGACTTCTGAGGGAATGAGCAATCGCTCATTACCTTATGTCCAAACTGAATTCTTTGGGCTCCATGATAACATAACACAATATAGAAGTAAGTATACTTTTTTTGGGGGGGCAGTGTCACCCGGCATGCAAGATCTTAGTTCCCCGACCAGGGATTGAACCCACACCCCCTGCAGTGGAAGCATGGAGTCTTAATCACTGGAAGTCCCACTTTTTAATTTTTTTTAATTATTTTTTTATTGAAGTATAGTTGATTTACAATGTTGTACCAATCTCTGCTTTGCAGTAAAGTGACTCAGTTATACATATATATATCTGTATTCTTTTTTTTTATATTCTTTTCCATTATGGTTTATCCCAGGAGATTGGATATAGTTCCTTGTGCTGTACAGTAGGACCTTGTGGTTTATCCATTCTAAATGTAATAGTTTGCATCTACCAACCCCAAACTCTCAGTCGATCCCTCTCCCTCCCCCCCCCCTTGGCAACCACAAGTCTATTCTCTATGTCTCTGAGTATGTTTCTGTTTTGTAGGTAGATTCATTCGTGCCATACTTTAGATTCCACATATAAGTGATATTATATGGTATTTGTCTTTCCCTTTCTGACTGAGAAGTAAGTATACTTTAAATAGTTACCCATTTTCCAAGCAGAGCTCTTCTTTCTTCAAATACCTATAATAAATTAAAAAAAGAATGGAATGATTTCATATTTCACGGTTCAAAATACCCATTACAAAAAAGACATCATTAAAGTATCAATAAATATTGACAGGCTTTTCATTATATCTACTGAGTATAAAACAGATTTTGTACCTGAAAAGGTACTTTACTTATATTTTTTTAATATTTATTTTATGTATTTATTTGGCTGTACCAGGTCTTAGTTACGGCATACGGGATCTTCGTTGCCGCGTGCAGGACCTTTTCTTTTTTTTTTTTTTTAGTTGCGGCATGCGGGATCTAGTTCCCCGGCCAGGGATTGAACCCGGGCCCCTTGCATTGGGAGTGAGGACTCTTAGCCACTGGACCACTGGGGAAATACCTTTACTTATTTTTAACTTGGGCAAAGTTTCTTTTTTCTCAGTTTCTCCATGTGAAATAATTCATCTTGAAGAAGAAATAATTTTTTAAAGGCAAGAAATAAGAAAAGCTGGGAATTCCCTGGCAGTCCAGTGGTTGGAACTTCGCGCTTCCACTGCAGGGGGCACGGGTTCAATCCCTGGCTGGGGACTAAGATCCCACAAGCCACTTGGCATGGCCAAAAAGAAAAAAAAGAAATAAGAATGGAATTGTGAAGTGAAATCATTTTTGGAATTTGAAAGGAGATGAAAAAACTGACAAAGGAAAAACAGGAAAATGGAGAACCTCCCCCAAATATATCAGCATCAATAGTATACGAACCTGTGAAATTTATGAGTGAGTGGCTCTGTTTTTATATTTCCATGAGTTCACATATCAGGGGGTGTACACGACTTATATGTTTGTAGGATTAGAAACTTGCATATGTGCGCCTCTGGGCTTACAGCTCAGTGTTTATCTGTATAGGTTTGTCGTTATATACTATTTAGGATAGAAACCATGTCTTAGTCACCTTGCAGTGCAGTGCAGAGTGCTGTACAGGGCATATTACAGGGACTCACGTTTGCCGGACTAAATGAATGTGATCGTGACAAATGAATATCCTTATGAATGTATCAGTACAATGTGAGTGTATTTTGAAACTGGTTTTTCTGAGCATCAGTCATTTGTATATTTGAATGAGTGAGGAAGGGACAACTAATGTGAGAATGTTTGGCGGAGGAGGGAGTTCTGGGGAAAGGAAGTAAGAGACAGCAGTGAACAGATGTGAATGTCTCTCTCACTCCTACACTACACCCTCTGTCAGCTTTCAGAATTGGGCCTGATGTTTTTCCCTTCCTCTTGGCACTATCTAAATTCTCTCGCACTGTTAAGATCATTCCTATTTGGAAAGTAGCACAGGCCTATTTCTTCCCTTTTGTGGAGGAGGATGAGGCGCTGGCTTCCTTCTTCCAACAGATATATTTTCCTTCCTTTTTCAGACTCTCAAACTCTACTTTCAAAGGGCATACGACACGGAGATTGAAATAACTTGTTCAACAACAACCTCAAGGCCTGTAAAATGTCATCTTTGCTACTAACCCCGGAACCTCATACATCACAGGCAGACACTTTTTATACTTTAGAGAAGAAGAAAAAGAATACCATTCTTGGGTTTCCCTGGTGGCGCAGTGGTTGAGAGTCCGCCTGCCAATGCAGGGGACACGGGTTCGAGCCCTGGTCTGGGAGGATCCCACATGCTGTGGAGCAACTAGGCCCGTGAGCCACAACTACTGAGCCTGCGCGTTTGGAGCCTGTGCTCCGCAACAAGAGAGGCCGTGATAGTGAGAGGCCGGCGCGCTGCGATGAAGAGTGGCCCCCGCATGCTGCAACTAGAGAAAGCCCTCGCACAGAAACGAAGACCCAACACAGCAAAAATAAATAAATTAATTAATAAACTCCTACACCCACTATCTTCTTTAAAAAAAAAAAAGAATACCATTCTCCCTTTCCCCCTAATTAACTGCGACCTGGGCTACTAAGACCCTCAAATAACGGCAACAGAAACTCAGAATTTCTAAATGAAAATAGAAGAGCAGACTTCCCTGGTGGTCCAGTGGTTAAGACTCTGCACTTCCACTGCAAGGGGGCGCGGGTTTGATCCCTGGTTGGGGAACTAAGGTCCCACATGCCCCAGGTGCGGCCAAAACAACAAAATAAAACAACAACAACAACAAAAATAGAAGAGAACCTAGAGAATACAGAAGACTGAAAAATCAGGATTCAAATATTTCCTGAACCCTTCTCTTGTGTCTAACCAAATCCTATCAATCATCTAATTCCCAGCCCAAGTCCCTGGCACCAGCACGTTTCCGGCACCCGCTGACCTCACTCCTCCCAACTCCTCCTCCACTTGCAGCCCATGCTCCACCTGGACTTTCTAGGGTTTGCAATTGCCTGCCAGGTGATTCTGTTCATTTCATCTTCCCGTGTAGATTACAACCACTTTCTCTTCTATGCTCCACAGGCTCCATGGCAGGCTCTCAACAAACACCTACTGATGGAACAACAACAACAGTTTCAGGTGTCGTAGAATTTTAGAGCTAAAAGGAATCCTAAGATCTTTTTGTTCAATCCCCTGATTTTAGAGGGGATAAGCAGAGGCCCAAAGAGTTAATCATTGGTTCCAGACTGTCTGTTCAGCTCAACTCTATACTTGGTTCCTCCCTAGATCCCTGGTCTTCCCTGTCCCGACCTCCAGCCCTACGTTCTCCTTTTTTTTTTTAAAGCTTATATTTAGTTGGACAGATTGATACATGTGTTATTTATTTAATTTTAAAACTTATTTGGCTGTGCCGTGTCTTAGTTGTGGCATGCGGGATCTTTGTTGCAGCATGTGGGATCTTTAGTTGTGGCATGTGGAATTTTTTGTTGCAGCATACAAAATCTAGTTCCCTGACCAGGGATCGAACCTGGGCCCCCTGTATTGGGAGTGTGGAGTGTTAATCACTGGACCACCACGGAAGTCCCAGCCCTATATTCTCAGTGAACCGCTGCTCACACTTTGGCCTGACAGTGGGAAGAAAAAAAGATTAGATCCAAAGACCACAACCTCCTTTCAAAAGGAGGTTGGGATGACCATAGTGGTGTCCAATGGTAACAGGGGGCATTGGAAAGAAAGGGGCACTGACTTGAAGGGGAGAGGAGAGTCAGCAAGAAGGTGGCAGGAAAGGAACAGGGTGGGAGGTGGAGTGTTTAGAGAGCCAACAACCAAGTCTAAGCAGGATCCAAGCAAATCCAGTTCTTTACCAAAAGGCATTTAGACCCAAGTGGAAACTGATGAGAGTAAAGGGGGAGAGGAGAAACACCAGACAAACTCAGATCTGGTTCTGACTCTGCCCTTGACAAGAAATATAATTTGGGACAAATTATTTAATTGTCAGGTCCTCAGTCAGACTCAGAATCATGTATTCTCTGGTTTGGAGCAAGTCTTCCTTCCAAGGATTTGCAATCAGGTTTTACATCTTTAAGAGCTGGGAAGGGGGTGGAGGGATAAATTAGGAGTTTGGGATTAACATATACACACTACTCTATATAAAATACATACCCGACAAGGACCTACTGCATACCACTGGGAACTATACTCAATATTTTTAATAACCTGTAAGGGAAAAGAATCTGAAAAAGAATATATATATATTTGTATAACTGAATCAGCTGGCTGTACACCTGAAACTAATACAGCATTGTAAATCAACTATACTTCAATTAAAAAAAAGAGCTGGGAAACGTATCGCTTCAAGCGGAAACGTTAAAGTGGGTCTTCTTTCCTTGCAGAATGCTGTAGTCTGTTTACATCACAGTTTACTCAGAGCCTGCTCTTAAGTCAAAATTCCACGGTTGTTATTTTAGTCTGTTGACACTGCAGTTCCATATTTTACCATGTGACATCATTAAAGTTAGGAATAAGACATTTCGGGGCTCCTAAATTATGACAGATGTATGGTAGTTAGGTGCTTTTTCTCAGAACACCCTTTTAACGTGTACTGTACTACACGTGCGAACCATACTCAAAAAGAAATGTTGATCATTTTCAATTAAAACACTGGATGGCAAAGAAATACATACTTTTAAAACATTCCTTCTCTCAAAGTTCACAATACCTGAATTATTTTATAATCTGTTATATTTGCCTAAACTGATGATGCTATTTTTTTTAGGTGTTTACATTCGAATTCAATCTCTATGCTTAAAGCCTGCTGTGAAGTTAAAACCCTGTGACTTTCAGTCTGAGACAGTTACGTATTTCACATTTTACTACAGAGCAGAAAAAAGGCAAAATTAAAAACCAAAAACAGAACCTCAAAATTACGCTGATCATTGGTGACAAAACGCCCTGTTTTAGAAATACAGAGTAGCCCTTGAAGTTATTGTATGGACACCTTCTGCCGAGCTGTATCCTTGGCCATCTATTTTTAATCCCTTTCACACAGTCAGAATGTTAGATCTGGAAGGGACTTTTGAGGTCATCTGACCCAACCCACTCATTTTCCAAAGGAAGGTAGTAAAGACCAGAGATGTCAGTGACTCACTGAAGTCAAGCAGGAGATTATTAGTACAGCTGATCTGGAACCTGTATTTTCAACTCTGAGTTTTTGTTCTTTGTTTGCTTTTATTTATATTTGTTTTTTGAATTGTTTTAAAATTTGAAATATTATTGCACTGTGTAAAGTAAAAACCAAAAACTCTTCTAACAGACCTCCCTCCCTCCTTCCCATGCCATCCAACTCTTTGGGGGAAACCACTATTAATAGTTTGGTATATACATATCCAAATTCCATGGGTGTGTCTATGTACATTAATACACAGACATATGGGTATATACACATGCCAAGATTTTTTTAAAAAAATTGTTTTTGGCCACACCGTGGCACGTGGGGTCTTAGTTCCCCAACCCGGGATCGAACCCACACCCCCTGCAGTGGAAGTCCGCCAAGATTTTTTAAAATAATTTTACTCCAAACTAGAACCTAACTAAACCAAAATAAAGCAATTTTGGAATAAAATGGGAGTTCTGAACAACAAAATAAATATCATCTTTAGAAATTATCATGAAATTTGACAACAGCTCTTCAGGAACCAAGATAAGGCTGTGTCATGCTTGCTATGATGCGCGGCCCAGATTCCCCTCCAGGATTGAAGGATTTATTCCCCCCAACTGTTGGGAGTGCTGCTGGCCGACAGCCGTGAGCTGGAGAGATCTGCCCTGACTAAGATCCCATCCACTGAATGCTCAGTGTGGAAGTATAAAGGCCAGGCCCCCTGATGCAATGCAAGACTCTGAAGGATCTTCGGGGTGTCCTACAGGGTCCATGGAGGCCTTGTTGCAACTGCCTGACAGCCCAGCTTCTTCCTCTGCCCGAAATCTACATCCTGTTCTTCCCTCCCCACACCTCCCCAGGTATGGATCCCGAGAGCCTTCCCCCATCAACGCCCTACATGCCAATCTCAGAGTCTGCTTCTCCAGTAACCCAACCTGCAACAGGCAATCAGACAATCAGACAATCAAGATACATTTTCTCCATGGCTGCTAAATCGATGAAGACTTCTCATTTTTCAAAGAAAATTTCCGAAAATCAAGACATCCAACGAATACGTATTTCAATTCAAGTCACTTTTCCACGTGCATAAAACCTTTACAATTCTATGAGAAAACGTATTTCAAAACTAAACACTGGAGTTTCTGGGGGCAGAAAGCAGAGAAGCTGCTATATAAACTGTTGGAGAACTAAGAGCATTGCAAACAGGTGCTCAATAAATAATTGTTGAGCTGAATTTAAAAAGACTGTCAATAGACTTGCTTTTTGCTCATGGCTGGGTAAAGGCTGGATTTCTCTCTCTGCTTCTCCTTTTGTTTCTCCTCGTGCCTCCTTTTTTTTTTCTATTTCTCGATCTCCTTTCCTCACTTCCTTTATCTTTTTCCTTTCCAGTATCTCTCCCTTTTACTTCTCAGTATTCCGATCGCTATGTTGGTTCCTCTGTCTCTCTCCCAAATTTGCTCATGTTCTGCATCAAATGAGTAGAAACAGGAAAGTCCTGAGCAGAAGGGGTCAGGATGGACGCTCCAGCTTTGCCAGAGCAATTAGCATAGCTGTTAGTTCAGAGAGGCAAAGGGTCAAATCCAGGCTAAGGAAGGAGAGACGTGGGGACAAGAAGTTCAGAGTCAATGAAGGAGGTCTCAGTGAGTACAGTTGACCTCTGACTCCATTCTTTGTGCTTCAGGAAACACATCAGGCTCTGGAGATGCAGAGAGAAAAGACAGAATCGCAACCCTTAACACATTAGGGTCGGGACTTCCCTGGTGGTCCAGTGGTTAAGACTCCATGCTCCCAATGCAAGGGGCACGGGTTTGATCCCTGGTTGGGGAACTAAGATCCCGCAGGCCGCACGGCACGGCCTAAAAAACAAAAAAGAAAAATCATATAAAAACACATTAGAGTCAAGTGGAGAAGTCGGTAAACAGTCATGAGAGGAAAGAAAAGCAAGGGGGATTAGGCTTCCCTGAGAAATGACATTTCAGATAACTCTTACAGGAGGCCATGAGGAGGGCACTACAAAGGCGTGGAGGGGATGAGAGAGCTTGGCCCAGATGTAGGATGAGAGAGCTTGGCCCAGATGTAGGATGAGAGGAGGCAGAGGCAGGGCTTGAACTGTGATGCTGGTTGAGTCAACTCATGAAGGGTCCTCAGTGCTATGTGTGGGGCGGGGGCTGGAATTTACCCTTTGGAGCAGCGTGTTATCAGTCTCACTTAATAGGATTAGTTAATAGGATCAGTTTGGTACTTTAGAAAGATCATTCTGGGATCAGAAGAGAGGATGGATTGCTAGGGATAGAGGCAGTGAAACCAGTTGGGGGGGTTACTACAATGTGCCAGGCAAAGGGTGATGAGGGCGTGAACTGAGAATGTGGAGCTGGAGGTACGCAGTGAAAGGAGAAAAGGGGTCCGGATGAAGAGACCTAGGAGGAAGACTCAGAGCTGCAAAACAAATTGCATGTGGGAGTGAGGCAGAGCAGTGGCAGACACTCCTTCCTGAGCTTCTCACTGCCTAAATATCTTGAAATGCCAGGAGTGCAAGGTCCTGACTGCCCTTTTCTTGGGCCATTACTCCAGGCTGTGCTGGCAGCAAGGAACCTTGAGGGGCGAGGTACTAACTCCCTTTAGAACCAAGAGCAGCCTTGCTAATGCTCAGTATTGAAAGCAGTGGATTCCCTGGGCTCCTTGTTCCTCAGCTGTGGTGCAGACCCACTGTGTGCGTAGTATTTATCTGGGTCTCTGCGTCACTCCTGTGGCACAAGGTGGGCCAGGAGAACCTGTGCAAACATGATGCTCACGCCCCTTGCTGCGTTGTAAGAAAGTTCTTTGTCTCTGACCCAAGCATCTCTTGTCTTCTACTGTAAAACAGTAGTGACTTTGCCATAAGTAACAGGCTAAGTTATTAGCTTGTAAGATGGGGAAAACCAAACCCTGGACCCAAGAGGGAGAAGGAAGATTTGCAGCTTGAGTGATTTGGTGTAAAGTGATGCCCTTCCTTACGGGGGAGGAACTGGTGTGTAGGAGCAAGATAATGAGGTCAGTTTTATTGATGATCGTAATTTACTGTCAACTAGATATGGTCCTTGTATATAAGTATTGATATAGGAGCTCACAGACCTGTTGGAAATTCTGCCCCTAATTGAAGCAGGAGTAGAAATCCCCAGAGGTTGGCAATCTCACATGCCCACATGATACCCAGCTGTCCACACTTGCAATGCTTTTTCTGGTGTATTCTGCTGGCACCTCCCCAGAACGCAGGTGGCAAATAAACTTCTTAGGAGAATCCGAGTAATGTGAGTAATCAGCTGACATTGACTCATTTTATTTACTTGGTTAAATGTACAGCTTTATCCAGTAACCTCAACTCTAGCAAGAAAACCTATTTTTGGGGGAACTCCTCACACATCACCCCCTCCTCTTTCATTTCCGGTGGTTCCTGCAAAGAACCAGTGATAGAAGGGAAAAGGCATTTGGGGTGAGAGAGAGGAGGAGTGACAGTGGAGGAAAGAGCAAATCTAAGACCTTTCTTTCTAGGCAGGAACTCTGTGTCTACTGCCAACCCTGGCCATGTAGCAAGTGTTCAGTTAAAGTTTCTGAAAAATTCCTTCATTTTGTTTTTTTCATCCATTACACAGTCCTAAACAATTAATGTTTATATTTTGATAACCAAGATTTTAATACTTTTTTTTCTTTAAGGCGTGGACCCAACTGATAAAATAGCTCTTATCACTTACCCGGTTATTCAAAAGCTGATGGTTTAGGGGTGTCCAGGTACTCATCTTTGCCTGCATTTTGGGACCACCTATGTTTTTTGGAGGTGCAAATGCCATCATGAAATAACTGGATATTCTTCCATAAGAAAAACTATACCTGTAGAAGAAATGAATCATATAATCTTCAGAATACTAAAAACACTAATACCATATAATCTTTTAGTACGTTGGGACCAGGGAATGGGAGGGCTAACATTTATTGGGAACATTTTATATGTCAGGAACTTTTATGTTTGCTCAATTACAACTCGTAACAGGGCTTCCCTGGTGGTGCAGTGGTTAAGAAACCGCCTGCCAATGCAGGGGACACTGGTTCAAGCCCTGGGCTGGGAAGATCCCACATGCCACGGAGCAACAAAGCCCATGTGCCACAACTACTGAGCCTGTGCTCCAGAGACCGTAAGCCACAACTACTGAAGCCTGCGTGCCACAACTACTGAAGCCCACACGCCTAGAGCCCATGTTCCACAACAAGAGAAGCCACCGCAACGAGAAGTCTGCGCACCGCAACAAAGAGTAGCCCCTGCTCGCCGCAACTAGAGAAAATCCGCGCACAGCAAGGAAGACCCAACACAGCCCAAAATAAATAAACAAATAAATAAATAAATAAAACTCATAACAATCTGGTGAGGTGGTGGGTTTTAGCTCATTTTACAGATGAAGAAAATGAGGCTCACTGAAATAATACTCTCTGCCCAAATTTATACAGACAGTAAGCGGAGAACTGGAAATCAGACCCAGGTCTATTTAACTCTGCTTGATTTTCATTGAACCATGGGAGAAATCCAGAATCTCTCCTAGCTAAGAACATACCATATTGGCCAGAAAGAAGAAGTATTTATAAAATCACAGTGCAATATGAAAACACTCTATCTTTGTCCCTTGTGACCTTCTTCCTCCCCTCTTATCTTTCTGACATCTAGGTAACAAGGGTTCTAGCTTGATACCATATTTAAGAGGTAGAATGGTACAACAGATAAAGCCAAGACTTTGGATACAGACAGATTTGGGTTTAATGGGGGAAATGTGCTGTTTTTAGATGTCCAGTACTAAATATGTCTTCCTTCATTTGATTAAAGCACTCTAGTTTCCATTAGGAATTATTTTTCCCTCATTATTTAGAGTCTGCTCTGTTGGTTAATCAAGGTGGCCTCCCCCTCCCCAGTCATGAGACCAAGCTAGGCCAGTTTACTTTTTTTGGGGGGGGGGGGGCTGTACCACTCAGCTTGTGGGATCTTAGTTCCCTGACCAGGGATTGAACCCAGGCCCACAGCAGTGAAAGAGCCAAGTCCTAACCACTGGAGCTGCCAGGGAATTCCCCTAGGCCAGTTTACTGATGCTGGCTTATCCTTACTTTACAGCTGAGGTGGTCATTCAAAGTACCATAGGTGCTCTGAGCAGACTAATAAGCTGTTATTGCTGCCTCAACCTTCGGAAGCCCCTTGTCCTTTCTTACTCATTTTGTAAGCCAGCTGATACAATAAATCAACCTCCTCTTTAGCTTCCATTAGCTAGAATCTATTTCTGTTGTTTGCAACCAAAACTTTTTACCTTATACAGTTTGGATCCTGGTTCTAAAACTTACTAGCTGTGTAACTTTTTGCAAGTTATTGAATCCATCTCAGTTTCCTTATTTGTAAAATAAGGGTGTGCATATCTACCCTCAACTGCTGTTGCAAAGGTTTGAGAAAAAAGGCTCAAGCAGAATGCCTGACAGATGAGTGGTCTTGATGAGTAGAATCCCTGCAGCCTTTCTTAGAACTCCCTGTCATTTACAGAGTGCCTCAAAGCCTGTCCTTTAGAAGCCCACAACAAAATATTTTAAGGTGAAAAATATTTAAAGCAGACTGATGGTATTTTCAGTATGTATCCTCCATGTTTCTGCTTATTTGTGCTTTTCTTCCTCTCTGTAGGTAGATTTCACATCCAAGGAAGTGGTGCTGAGTGAGGGGGCTAGGACTTACTTGCCTGCTTGATCTCTGGGCTGCGAAAATTACAGCAACAAATACTGGACAGCTCTTTTTAAAAAAAATCACTAGTGTTTAGCTGATAGAGGATTCCCCAAATGCTAGATCTGAAATTTTGAGGCTCTCACTTGACATGTAATATTCTCTCTCAGGTTTAAGTTAGAGCTGAAGATAAAGCCAATGTTTTAAAATCTCAGGGTTTTAAAGGTAGACAGTATCTCAGGGTTTTAAAGGTAGACAGTATCTTCCTACAGTTTTTTGCTGTCACCACTCCACTGGCATAAGGGGGCTCAGATCAGTCCTTATATTCTTAGCTCCAAACAGCTATGTTGCAAAAGGTGTAAGAAATGATTTCATTACAGTGTTATTAATTGGCAGCTATAAAAGTACACGTGAGCAGGCAAATTATAGGTACAAAGCATGGTCACTGAATCTAGATCTGCCCAGTTAAAAATCACATATTTCTTTTTTGTTATTGTTATTTATTCATGTTTGACCTTTCTTCTCTTTAAACCAATTGGTTTTTTCTTTGTTTTATTTTAAATTTTTATTTATTTATTTTGGCCGCTCTGTGCAGCTTGTGGTATCTTAGTTCCCTGACCAGGGATTAAACCCGGGCCCTCGCAGTGGTTAAGAATCCACCTACCAATGCAGGGGACAGATTCGATCCCTGGTCCGGGAAGATCCTACATGCCGTGGAGCAACTAAGCCCGTGTGCCACAACTATTGGGCCTGCGTGCCACAACTACTGAAGCCCATGTGCCTAGAGCCAGTGCTCCACAACAAGAGAAGCCACCGCAATAAGAAGACTGTGCATCACAACGAAGAGTAGCCCCCGCTCGCTGCAGCTAGAGAAAGTCCACACTCAGCAACAAAGACCCAATGCCACCAAAAATAAATAAAATTAAAAAAAAATTCTATAAACCCAGGCCCTCGGCAGTGAAAGTGCGGACCCCTAACCATTGGGCTACCAGGGAATTCCCTAAACTGATTGTTTTCAATTTCTTTTTTCAAGACCATAAAACTCTTTGAGAATATGATGAAAACTCCTGCTGTAAGCTGAGAAACTCTCTCTCTTTCCAGTTTGTGTAGGAAACAATCTGACTGATTCTAGGCACAATTTCTGATTATGACAAAGTAGCTTTTCTAGGGCCTCCCCAAGGCCTTACACTGGTTGTTTTCTTTGTCCTGGGTCCTCAGAGCTAGAAATTATTTGAATTAGGCTTTCTTCAAATCAACTTGAGGAAAGTTTGGTTTTCAGGAGATGGGCCAGGCCGGGAGAAAGAGACCTCTTGGTAATAGTCTTGCTGAAGCAGGCAAATGGAGGTGCCCTGCTCTGTCTTTTTACAGTTTTTCCTCCTCCATCCATTCTAGAAGATGGGCACCGTGCATATTTGCACGCCCACACCGGTTCACAGTATAGACCACTCAGACACTTTTATACAACATACATAAAAATAACAAGACAAAGCAAGTTGTCTTCCCTCCTTCAACATACAAAGCTTGCTGTTGCTTTTTTTTTTTTTTTTTTTCGGTACACGGGCCTCTCACTGTTGTGGCCTCTCCCGTTGCGGAGCACAGGCTCTGGACACGCAGGCTCAGTGGCCATGGCTCACGGGCCCAGCCGCTCCGTGGCACGCGGGATCTTCCCAGACCGGGGCACGAACCCGCGTCCCCTGAACCGGCAGGCGGACTCTCAACCACTGCGCCACCAGGGAAACCCACTGTTGCTTTTTTATGACCTCTTTTCCCCTTAATGGCTGTCGTTGAATGTTCATCTTTAATTTTTCTTTGGATAAAAAGGAAGAAAAAGGGCTTATGGCCCTTGCCCCCAATGTGTGGTTCTAGTTCCATGTTTAAAGGCAAAGATAGTTCCTCTGGTAAAGTTCCAGTGGCCACGTACTTCTAATCCCATCTTCTAAGCCATTCTTCACACTGTCACCATTATTCAACTGCACTAAGGACCTTATTAGGCCTGTATTAGAAGTACAAAGATGAGAGTCTTGGCTATAATGGAGCTAAAAGTCTACTGCTAGAGAGGTTTCTTTTTGTGTTTGTTGTTTTCTTGACAAATAAAAAAGGTATATATTTAAGGTATACAACGTGATGTTTTAATACATGTATACATTGTAAAATGCTTACCACGATCAAACTATTTAACATATCCATCACCTCCCATAGTTACCGTTTGTGTGTGTGTGTGTGATGAGAATACTTGAGATCTACTCGTTTAGCAAATTTCAAGTATACATTATTATTAACTATAGTCACAATGCTGTAGATAGGGTCTCTAGAACTCATTCATTTTATAACCAGAGGTTTGTACCCTTTGATCAATAGCTCCCCATTTCCCCACCCCTCCAACCTTTGCTAATCACCACTCTCCTTGGGAGGTATTTTTAAAAAATACCTGTCATTTTTCAGCTCAAAAACCTTCAGAGGCTTGATAATGGCTACAGAATATCCAGGCTTCTTAGCATGCAAATCTAGGTCCACTATGAACTTACCTCCACCTACCTTTTCAGCCTCATCCTCCTTTCTCTCCCTTCATGCACTATCTGCCCAGACACACTGAACTTCAGATCACAGAACATGGTACAAAACTGATGCTTCTTTGCTTATGTGGTTTTCTGACACTGCTCACCTGAATCCTAATCTCAGTAGTACGTACGTAATGGGTGCTCAATAAATATTTGTCAACTGAATGAATGAATACAACAGTGGAGGGGAGGCGGTTTAAGGATTAAAACTAGTGGAAGGGAAGGATAAAACTCAACATTAGGAACTGACCACTGGTATTAAACACAGGACGATCGGATTTTTATTTGGAGTTTACAGAGTGGAAGAGGATTGAGTTTCTATACTAACATACATCTCACCCATTGTACATTGCAGTATCATCAGAGGAGATCAGATATTATCAGAAAATTATCAGGAAAGGGGGTATGGTTAGACTTAAATATGAATTCATCTGATATTCAACTAGGTAGAAACAGAAAAACTATAATACCGTGCAAAGAGCTAGTGCTTGATAGGCATAGAAACAATTATTTGTTGGTTGTTAATTTCAGAAATATGAAGCATCTGTCACTTGAACTGCAGCTGAAACGGAGCAAAATGTAATTCCCGGGGGGCACTGCCAAGGTTTGTGAGAGACCCAGGAGGATCTGAGAGAGGAGCTCTCAAACGAAAGTCTCCATCTTTTTCATGCACTGCCCACTGCTCTCACCTCTTTTGGTTCGTCTTTCTCTTCAAGCCTCTGGCGCTGGTGTTGCCATAGTTGCTGTTTCTTTGACTCTGTCTAGCCCCCACCCCTTCCAGTAGTCCAATCACCGCCTATAAATCTTTTCGCTGGCATCCGGGGTTTCTTAGGCAACAATGTGTGGTCTCTTGATTGGCCAGGAGATCCTGGAGGGCTGGCTCCAAAATTGGGCGCATGGATAAAACGAAAAAGTGTGAGCGCCAAGAGGGTGGGAGGGACTGCAATCTCCCAATATAATGCTAGTACGAAGATGCAGCCGATCCCGAAATAAACAGCCTTAAAAGCCCTCATTCAAGACGTGTGTTCCAAATCAGGCCAACCTACTGAGCATGCCCAGTTACATCGTTCTGGTCGCTCCAGGGTTCCAAAATGTCAACTCCATTTCTCCGGGTTTTAAGAGTGGCCAACAGGTAAAAGAAGGTTGGAGGAAAAAGAATTCTAGAGAGGTTCACTGAAAGAATAGCACCTGCACACAGGAAGTGGAAGAACGTGGGAAAACTGCCCAACACACAAACTCGCAAATGCTTCAACATGACTTTTAATCTATTGGATTAAAGAATTCAGGCCGATTGACAGATACACCAGGGAACCAGCAGATGGCATGCCTTAATAAGAATAGCTCCAAATTTGGGAAATTTTAGGATCGGTCTAATTTAATTAAATTTGTGGAGTATCCACCATGTAATGAGAGGCGGAGTGAGAATGCAAGGATTAAAAAAGAAATCTAATGAGGAAGCCTGGAAAATGCAATGTAGAAATAACTACTGTAAGGACCACAGTGATAACTACTGTGATAGAACTATAAACAAGTGTTAGAGAAAAACAAAACATTCAACATTTCAGAACGGAGCTCCTCTGGTAAATGTAAAGCAGTTCTTATGGGCAGCAGCTAAACAAACAAACAAAAAAGACTTTCTCACTATCTAATATTTCCTAAAATAGATAAAAATGTACTCCTATGCAAACAAATGTAAACTCTATGTTTGTAACGATTCATAGTTTTGAAATAGGCAGCATTTGTATATCTCCCATTTAAAAAGAAAATGAAAAGTGAAGCTCATAGAGGTTGTTGCTTTCCGTGAGTTGACAAAGGATCAGCAAGTGGCCAAACTGAAATTAGAACCTAGGTTGTCTGAATTCCAGCCTAGTGGTTTTTCCGCATGATCAGGTTGTATGTAAAATGAATAAACAAAGCCTTTTTGCAGGGCCAGAGGCCTGGGGGAGGTAGGTAGATGCAATACTAAATTACCGTGTATTACCAGTTAACATGTATGGTTTCAAGACGGGTTCATCCAGGAAGAGACCAGTTTTAACAACATGCTGGGAGAGTGCTGTGTCTCTGTGAAGTTCCCGCTCATTAAAGATTTTCTACTGGTGGTTACAACATTGAATGAAAGAGAGGTGGGTTTAAAGAGAGCAGAACACTTTAACCCTGTTAGAGCTGAATATTTTTATCCATGAAAATAAGGTTCCTTTCTTCGATCCTCTCAACCAGCACCCTCTAGACCTGTGTTCATGGTGAGCGCACTGGCTCAATATCCTTGATAATTCAACATTACTTTTAAATGAAACATTTCAACCACAAAGAAAAGTTTAGAGACTTGCCTAAGAAACACCCTGTCTCCCCACAGAGATTTTTAAAAATGTTAACATTTTGCTTCCTGTGTGTGATTAACAGTTGAAGCCCCTTTTGCATGCTTCTCAGATCTCATTCCCCACCCTGCTTGCCTAGAGGCAACCACTATCATGAAATTAGTGTGTAGCCCACTAGTCCACTTTTTATGCTTACTGTATATACATGGTTGACCTCAGAAACAATACGGCGGTTTTAGAGAGCTATCATAATTTACATATCTTGTAGTTTGGTTTTTCCACTCTGTTCTATTTCTGAGATGTGATCATGTTGGTACATTCAGTGATAATTTCTACATCATTCCCACCTCCCGGTGTGAACCAAGATATGTTCTATGCCTGACAGCTTCAATGTGTCCGTGTGTAAATTGCATAAAAAATGTGCTAGCAGCACATCTCCAGAAGATCTGCAGGTACAAGGGATCTGGAAGTACATGAAGCAGGTCCACACAGATTTTCACAAACGCTCTTAGCTGCTTCACTCACCCTCAGTAGAGGCAGTGTTGGCTCCACAGGACACAGTGACCTGACAAGAATCAGCCAAAGGATCAATACTACTTTCTTTTTTTTTTTTTTTTAAATGTTACTGCACGAGTAGTTATTTATTAACGAAATTGAAAATGTCTCTTCAGATCTCTTTTATGATGCGCTTTCCCATAGCTCATCTTCTGACATTCAACTGTATTTATGGCTGTCTCAGCTCAACATTTATTTATCATTTAGGGAACACCTTTAAAAAGATTATGTTAAAATATACGAACCAAAATTTACCATCTTAACCAAGCGTACAGTTATGTTAAGTACATTCATATTGTGGGACAAGATCAAAATATTACTTTAAGTCCTGTGTGCTACCACAGATCAAAATGATGCCTCTGAAGTCTAGGTTGAAAACGGACGAAAAGGAAGAGAAAGGTAGGTAAAATAATGTAGGCAAAAGGAGGAACAGTTTTGGCTTGAAATGAATCCAAACTAAGCCATTAAAACGCTGTGTGACTTTGGGTAATTCATTTAACCTTTCTGGACCGTTCTTTTTCGCGTCTGAAAAATGAGAGGTTGGGTTTAGATGACTTCTAAGAAATCTTTCAGTTCTAAAATTACTTATGTAGAAAAAGCGAGGAGAAACGTTTCCTAAGGAGCAAAATATGGGGGAATGCCACCAATCATCCACAAGCTCCACCTGCCCACTAAGGTGTTGGTAAAGAAGATACAAACTGTTCATGGGCAGGTATCCTGTCTGCTCTGTTGTTTCAGCCTGGAGCTCTGCAACAGGCCAGTTGACTACCTCCACCTGAACCCAGTGCCACCCTCAGCAGCTGGTGACCCGCCTCTTAACCATCTCCAATTCCTGGGTCCCCGGGGGCACACTGGTTCTCAAAACAGGTCCTGGTAGTCTCGCAATACTAGCATCCCAGGGTTGAGAGATGAGAGTCGCCGCGCTGTCTCAGCAGGGAAAAGAGGGATGGCTTTGCAAAGGGGGTTATTTAAGAAAAACGCTTCCAGAGCTCGGAACGACACCGCAGGGGGTAGGAGGCGCCAGCACCACCAGCGGCTCGAAACCGGGAAAAACGAGGCGAGCGGAGCGGGTATCACGCAGCTGGGCTCAAAATGGGAACGCTCGGCCGCGCGTGCGCAGCGCGCCTGCGCCGTGCGTGCGCGCGCGCGCTCGCTCGCTCCGCTGGCCGCGCGCCCTGGCGCTCGCGAAAGCTCGCGGTCGCTTTGAGGCGCGCGCTGGCGGTCCTCCTTCGCTACGTTTACCTGAGGGACCCGCGCCCACCCACGGCCGGCGCCGCAGCCCCCCTAGGAGCCCGGCCCCGAGGTGTGAGGTGAGTCCCGGAGCGTGCGGCTCCCCCGTCCGGCTCAGCGGGAGGAGGGCTTGGGGAGTGTGGGGACTGAGGAGGTGCTGCCGCGGCTGCCCGCTCCTCTGTCTAACCCTATGCCGAGGAGCCACCAGCAGCCCCGGCAGCTCCTCCTCAGGGATCGTTATTCTCGTCGCGGCCGAAACAAAAGCCTTGGGTGCCGGGCTGTGGCGGGGTGTCTCGGAGCTTCTCGGGGTGGGCGGCGGGCCGGCGGGGCGCGGGGGAGCGGGGTTTGGGGCTGGGGGTTGAGGCGGACAGATGTCCGCGGACAGGATTAACCCTCGCGGTCCCGAGCTCGCGCCGGACAACCTGTGCGAGTGTGGCCCGCGTTCCCTCCGCGCCGACCCCGGCCCAGCCCTTCGCTTCGGTGGGCGCCGCGGGGGCGTGTGGCGCTCCGGGGCCGCCCGGGGCGTGGTGGAGGGCGCGGCCGCCGGCGGGGAGGACAATGCACCGAGGGCTGCGCGTCGGGGCGCGGCGGTCCGCCCGAGACCCGCGTCGAGGCTTCCCCGGGCCCGGGCGGTGTCTCAGCATCTGACCGGCCTCCTGTTTCCAGTCCTAAAAGTTGTTCCCTCCCCGCCCTCCAGTCAGTTCGCAAAGTCTGCTGCTCCCTCCTCGAGGCTTCCCCCGCTGCCCGCTTTGATGCTCCGTGTGTTTGCCCTGGGGTACCGCGGGGCAGTTCATCCATAGCCTCTGAAATAAAGCTGCTGTTAAAATATTTCAAGACGTTTTAGCAGCTTCCTAGAGGCTTTTGAAGAGTTAGGTGCCTCCTCAATAAGAGAAAGAAAGACGGCTGCTTCTTTTTTTTTCTTTTCTTTCTGTTTTCCTTTTTTTTTTTAGAACAAAAGCACATGCCACTAATTCAGGCATAGGAGTCAACTTAAAGTTGCAAAATATCTGCTGTAGGAAGGAGGTCCGGTTTTTGGCCCATAATTAAAATGAAAATTTGAATTTTGGTTCCCTTCTAAATTTAAAAGGATGGAGCAGCAGAGCAGACTAGCAGCTATGGAAGTGGATAACTGCTATATAAAAACAGCCAAACAAGATCTTATTTTATAGAAGTAGTTCTCATAGACCTGTCATGTTTATTTACAGGAATTGGGTTACTTGGCAAAGCCAGTACCGCAAGAACAAGGAAACAAAGACCTGACATTGGGGATGTTACCTCCCTCTTCAGCCTTCTTTTAGCCTTTAGCGGTGTGCTGACAGTCAAAAGAATAGATAAATCAGTAGTTATGTTATTAAGAAGCGTTTACTCCTCAAGATAATGCTTTCCATCCGTACTTTTAAGCAAATCAATACCATCTTTTTCCTCCAGGAAAAAAAAAAAAAAGCATTTGCTTGAACTACCTACCAAACCACAGCATAGAGGTAATAAGACAGGAAAGTGGTGTAAAAGCTTAAGGGGGCAGGCTTGCAAGGATAGAGCTGAAGATAAAAGATAATTGAGATGCAGCCCTTCTCTTACCGGGTTGCCTTTTATTTCGTGCAATAACATGTTCTTCCTCTACCCCCCAAGGGCTTTGAAACTATCAGGAAAATAAGAAGGTGATTAGTAAAGCCTACCATCCTACCTTCTCTTTCCTCCTACTTTTTTTTTTTCTCATCCACTAATATTCTCTACCTCCACATCTCTCTTGAATCTACCACAGTGTCCCATTAATAAAAGAAGAAAGGACCGTAGGCTCTTTCATTCCTTTTTTCATCTTAGCTACTATATTCCTCTGAGCTTTATTCTGTGCTTTGAACATTTAGGTGGCTTTTTCTTG